TGAAACTCCGGATGACGTGTGGCAAGGAAAAATGGCATTAATTATTAAAATGTTGAATGTCAAGCCTTCTATTGACGAGAGTCCAGTTGTGACCTTATTTATCACCATAAGTGTTGTCCATCTTTATAATTATATCGATTTATGGATTATTTTTGTAAGTGTTCTGTCTATGTGTCATCCGCTAGCTGACAGTCGTTTCGTTTTAAAATCGCCCATCCACACAATTGTGAAAATGTCATTAAATGAAGTGAGGTCCCATAGTAAGAGNAACCTCTCACTAAGTGTGCCTGGGTATAAATAATACTCTCTTGATAATCAGAAGAGCGACCTCTCTCTCTCTCTCTCTCTCTCTCTCTCTCTCTCTCTCTCTCTCTCTCGGTGTGTGTGTGTGTGTGTGTGTGTGTGTGAGTGTGTGTGTGTGTGTGTGTGTGTGTGTGTCTGTGTGTGTGTGTGTGTGTATGTGTGTGTGTGTGTATGTGTGTGTGAGTGTGTGTGTGTGTGCGTGTGTGCACATGTATGTTTGAATGTGTGTCTATTGACGTGTGATTTATTCATATCATTAAAGGTCATACTAAGCTTCTAGAACATGTGGGTATTGTTGCGAAATGATACATTAAAGGGCATTCACTTGAATGCAATAAAGTGGGCCAAGAAATCGGCTAACTTGGTTAATTTCATGTACACGCGCGACTGGCATCCTTGCTTTGAATCCCCATTATGGGACATTATGTCTGAAAAAATCCGGTAGATACGCAGAAGAAATATCAGAATGCGTACATTTCACATATTTTATTGTCTTTTACACATTACATTTGAGAAATTTTGTACTTGAAAAATCACAGTTTAGACACATTTGGCACTTGTCCAGGTACGTGTACGTATCTGTTGAATGATGGTGCTGACACAGAAGTCAGTGTTTATCTAAATTGCAAGCATGCAAAAAGCAAACTTAAACGTTTTGTTTGTTTTCCAACATAATTATATTAACTTGCAGACCTTGTCCAATACAATGTCAAATAGATGCTATTACGCCCTTATGCATATTTTATCGTCAACAAGTGCTTTGTCATGTTGGTGACGCAGTTCATTGGGAAATGTCATGACAACTATTGAAACAACATGGGTTTTCACAACAGCAAACGACAGAACATATTTTCACCTTTCATGACTTTTAATTTGATTGTGATTCTATAGCTGTCCTGTCCAGCCCCAACTCAACTCAACTCAACTCAACCGCAATCAAACGTAATTTCCGGATCCTGCTCCGGTAATCGACAGGGGCAACAAAAGCATCGATTTCTCTCCATCTGAAAGCTCGTGCTCTCAAATTCACATATTTTCCTTCACAATAACCTGTAGGGCATCATACTCGTAGCGTGCCGGATAATCAGCGAACTCTTCTTTTTTCAGACATACAAAATCGCTTAAATTGTGAGTAAAATGATTGATTTCAGACTCACGTGCCGTAACAGAGATTCACAGCTCTGCCGTGACCAGGATTCGAAGCTGGGTTGTCTCGGCCATGACGAGAAGTACTAACCACTATACGATCACGGCTTGGATTGTGAGTTGTTATACCGCGTTACCTGTACAAACTAAGTATTTTATGAATAAGGTGTGTCCATCACTCGAATAACATTTAGGAATCAACATGGGGAAATAGTGAAATAGAAAAGTATCCGTATAGAGTTAATTCTTTTTTCATTTTCGGTTTTTATTCTCTCGTTATCAATTTATTAAAGGAATTAAAAGTAATTTCTGCATCCTGCTCCGGTAGTCGACGGTGACAACAAAAATCGTGGATCATTGATTTTTCTCCATCTTAAGATTCTCAAATTGGGACATTTTTCTTCACAATAACATGCATGAGCCATACTTGTAGCATGACGGGTAATCAGCAAACTCTCCATTTTCCAGACATTCAAAATCGCTTGAATTGTGAGAAAAATGATTGATTTCAGAAGGGAAAAAAGAAATGTACACTCACAAACGTATCAGAGATTCAAAGCTCTGCCGTGACCAGGATTCGAACCTGGGTTGTCTCGGCCACAACGAGAAGTACTAACCACTATACGACCACGGCTTGGTTTGTGAGTTGTAATGTGGTGTTACCTGTACAAACTAAGTATATTATGAATAAGGTGGGTTTATCACTCGAATAACATTTGGAAATCAACATCGGGAAATAGTAAAAAAAGAAAAATATCCGTATAGAGTAAATTCCTTTTTCATTTTCTATTTTATTCTCTCTATCAATTTATTAAAGGAATCAAACGCAATTTCCTGATCCTGGTCCGGTTATCGACAGTGACAACAAAATTCGTGGATCATGGATTTCTCTCCATCTTAAGACTGCGTTCGCGCTCTCAAATTGGGACATTTTTCTTCATAATAGCATGCATGACGTCATACTCGTAGCGTGCTAGGTGATATGCAAACTCTTCTTTTCAGACATTCAAAACCGCTTAAATTTTGAGCAAAGTGATTGATTTCAGAAAGGAAAAAACTATAAACTCACGTGCCGTAACAGAGATCAAAAGCTCTGCCGTGACCAGGATTCGAACCTGGGTTGTCTCGGCCACAACGAGAAGTACTAACCACTATACGATCACGGCTTGGTTTGTGAGTTATTATACCGCCTTACCTGTGCAGACTTAGTAGTTTATGAATAACATTCAGGAATCAACATGGGGAAATTGCGATAAAGGAAATACCCATACAGAGTTAATTCCTTTTTTCATTTTCGGTTTTATTCTCTCGTTTTCAATTTATTAAGATAATCAAACGTAATTTCCTGATCCTGCTACGGGAATCGACAGTGACAACAAAAATTATCGATTTCTCTCCATCTTAAAGACTCCGTTCTTGCTCTCAGATTGGGACATTTTCCAGAAAACTCTTCTTTTTTAAACATTCAAAATGGCTGGGATTGTGAGTAATATTATTGATTTCAGAAAGGAAAAATCTATAAAAACTCACGTGCCGTTATACAGATTCACAGCTCTGCCGTGACCAGGATTCGAACCTGGGTTGTCTCGGCCACAACGAGAAGTACTAACCACTATACGATCACGGCTTGGATTGTGAGTTAAAATAGCAAGTTACCTGTACAAACTTAGTATTTTATCAATAATAGGTGTTATCACTCGAATAGCATTTAGGAATAAACATAGTGGAAAAAAATTTTCCAGGAAATTCCTCTTTCATTTTCGATTAATTTTTTCTCGTTATCAATTTATTAAAGGAAAGGAGAAAAGTCGGATGGAAGGGTATAATAAAGTTCTGTCTGTAAAAATATTCATGCATATCCCCCCCCCCCCCTTAAGCCAATATTATGCTGTGGAATTACATTAATTTCATGCATATACTGTCTTGTCCCTCAAATTGTGATCATTTTCCTCTTCCAGTAACCCCATGCGCAAAAGTAAAAAGGCGTGGGGTTGGGAAAGCCCACCTCACATTAACAAGAGCAGTGAAAGTAACGAAAGGCTTCCGAATGAGGAAATTTCGGTCAGCATCGGAAATTCTGACCACAAGGTCACGAATAAGATCGTCACACCGACCTTTCGTGCTTATGAATATATGTTCACTTTGTCGCTTGACCGCAGACAGAATTAAGCGGGCCGTCTTCTCATCTTTGAATTTTGGAGATGATCCGGTGGACTGTATAGCATAAAACAGCATTATGTCATTTGACCACCGATATAATGTACGACTGTTTTAAATAGAAATCATTCGATTTATGTGGCCGCAAATTTAACATTAAAAGTAACAAAGTGGTGTTGAACCGCTAAGTTATATTTAGCGTGCATCACTTGATAAAAGACAGGAAATAGAGAAATATTAGTTGATTAATCTTGTTAAAGCGCGAGGAAATATTTATAATTTATCCCATCATTTATCTATTCACATATCGTGTATTTATTCATTTCTCTATCCCTTTATTGTTCTGAGTAAGCTAAGCCTGGATTAAAGTTTCAGTCACGTCTTAAGTTCATAATAATACACTTAAAACGGGAGTGGTCCCAATTTCAATACCTCATTAAATGTGTTACACGTCACTCAGTTAACCCATTATTAATTATTGAAAGGATGGTGTATAAGCTTATTTAGCTCGTATCAAGAAAGAGCCCTGGATACTTATCACAATTATCAAAGGAAAGGTTCTTTATGTGGATAAGAACATATAAAAGTAACATTTTAATTATATTTTTTAACTTAATTATCTTTTAATAACGTCATAAAGGTGTTTAAATCTCTTTCCTCCGTGTTTGAATAATTAAAGCATGAACAAACCATGAAATTATCAGTCATCGGTCATAGAAGTGAAATCCACCTTATGACAGTTTCGATCGTCGCCTGTCACTTTTGGTCACAGTAGTTTTGGTATACGACCGCCAGATGTCAGCACGGTCTGATTGGCTTCCATCGGAGTGAAATATCATATTCACTTCCGAATGATAGGCCTATATTTCGGGCAAAAATTTCACCGAGCTTCTCATTTGCTTGAGAGAAAACCAACCTGGACATAGGAAGCAAATTCCGTAAACTATGTCTTTCGTGCTATCCCCTGTCTCTCAACACGATCTACCGAATTCAAAAATGGCTTTCAGGAGGTGGTTTTTTTTTTATACATGAGGTATTTTGATAGATTGTTACTAATCTTTGTGGAAAAAAGTTGGGCATGCCTGGTTAACCCCATGTTTGTGTCCTTAATAATACACCCTTATCCCTGACTCCCTTAGCTCTAACCCGCGTTTCTTAATCGCAGCATTCCTGCATGTTTGTCTTTCTTTATCTGTACCTGTTAATTACAGAGGGTATCAAAAATAACCCTCAGCCGTCTGAACTGCACTATCAGATCGAGTCCTCACGCCGCCTTAGTGAACACATGTTAATGAAGGAGATAAAATTCAGCCAGCAAATGTGTTGCGGTAATGGGTATGACGTCACACGGAAATTGAGGAGACTCGTTTGTGTCGATTCCTTGTCCTGGAGGCCAGAGTGAAGAAGGTATATCCCGTGTTATGTCGACTTTCTGTTAGTTAACAACTCAGGGATCGTTTGGACTAAACGTAAGTTTTTGTTGTTCGTTTTTGTGCTTTGATTCTATTCACTTTGTATCTTCTTGTACTGACTTGTGTACATGTAAGGACTGAGATATCAGTCAAACTGCCAGAGCGCGAAAGTCCTTACGAGGAAGGTGTGTGGTACTGAAGTCGTTTTTTTTTTCGTCTGCCTTTTCACTTTTCTAGACTAATATTTTGAGGTACCATATCCTTCAGTAATCAGAAAGTCATATTTGCCATTTAAGCTTGGCGAATTTATGTTAGAGAACTTTAAGTTATAACAGAAAAATCGTAGTGACGGCCCCCTTCAATGGAGATCGAGGAGATTTTTACAAAGTTTGTCTTTCTTCCCAGACTGCACTTATCTCGGGTCAATCTGAAAGCTACGGTTGTCAATTTTCTGAAATATTCACATATAAAACAAAGCTGTCCTTTGGTGACGGTCTTCTTACAGTTTATTCACATTAGGCTTATCAATAAAAATGTAAACACAACATTACGTGCAAGTTTTTTTTTTTGGGGGGGGGGGGTTAACGAACATGCGAACATATTGGTCAACATTTTAATTGTACATTTGAATAAGGAAGCTGGCCAGTGAGATTTAAGATATACCACGGTATTTAGTCCTTTGTTAACCTCAACATTATTCTCAATATTTTGACACCTGGAACGCGTGAAGTCGGTCACAAACAGTGCACAAGCAAAATTGAAAACAGTGACACGATATTAATCAAAAACTTTTTAATAGTCCTACATATGCGTGTACATATACATGTAGCTAGCAGTGTTGTAAACAAATGCATTTTTCTTAGTTAAGATCTCTCTATAGTCCTTATATTTTTTCAGACAATGGGCGCCATAACAATGTTGAGATCACGTGACACTATCGTCTGCTTCACGTTGGTGATCGCGTCCTTGTGTTCCCAAACGGCAGTGTCACAGATCAGACACTGGTCAAACTCCTTCTCCGGCCACGGCGCTTTCTTAAACTGGGGTAGTCTGTTTGGTATCCAAAGTCCAGTGCCGTACAGACCCATCAGCGTACCTACGGTACAAGGTAAGTTCTCAGGGGTGGATTGAGGCCGTCTTCTGGGTATTCGGGAAATCGGTCAGATTTTCATTTTTACATTAACTGGTAGCTTTTTTTTTTCTGTCGGAAGACAGTCAAAAATGGAGGATGGATCAGCAGAGATAATTTGGAAGATTGTCAGAAAATATCTCTGGATCCACCCCTGGTTTTAATAACATATCATGTTAATGAACTAGGAGCATGCGGGTCAGGTGGGAGGGGTGGGGTAATGGAGAGGTGAAGTGACGTCATAATGCCACAAAAACGGTTTCCATGTTCTGATATAAGCTCAGCTGAAATGATTTAAAATTTTAAAAAATCATTTTTGCATTAGCATTTATTTATTTACTTTACAACACAATTCCAACTTATTTAAATAATTTGAAATCAATTAATGGGAGTATATTGTTTGTTTAACGCTCCGATGTCAAACCTAATATTTAGCTTCCAATAATCAATTCAAAACAATTTAACAGATGTGCTTCAGAAACTTTTCTTTTAATTGACTAGAACGCCGTGCCAGTATATTAAATGTTAGAGAAAAAATATTAATCAAATATCTATTTTTAACATCAGCTCCGGTGGTGAACACAGTGGATTGCTTGGAGTGCTCCTCTGAGACACACCCGAGATGTGCCGAGTACGCATGCCCAGATCACGAGAATGACGTCATCGTGAAAGGGGACAAAACCGGGAAATGCTACATCAAGAAAGAGATCAATCGTAAGTTCTTCAAAAAAACATTTTAAGTTGTTTAAAATATTTTGGTCACCTATTATTACTCTCCAGACTAGTTATGCCTTTATGGAAATCTGGTTTGCATTTCTTCCCCACTGGCGTCGGGAATAATTGGTCTTTTCCCACATTGCACTGGTTTCAAACAATACTGTAGCAGGGATAAATGCGTGGGTACTTCATTCTGTGCTACTGATAAATCATACCATGATGACGCAAAGTAAAGATCGTCGATTTCATTTAAAACAAAAAAGTAATTTTAAATTCCAAAATAATTGTACACAGCATTGCTGAAAAGAACTTCTAACAATATAATTTCCATTTGATAAATTTTCTCCGCTAAGGAGGAGTTATTTTTTTTTAAATAACTCAGTCGATGTAATTTAATACTTGTCAGCTGCCTACTTATTGGCACGCATGACGGAATTGAAATACACAAATGAATACCAATAATCAACTCGTCAATTCTTCATTGTAAGTGGACTGTCATTCCGTTTCAGTGAATACAAACGCGTCCATAATAGTGCGAGGCGGGATATCGAACCTTTATGACAGGGTTTCCAAAGATGTCGGCTGCCACCACGTGGAGGAAAACGCCGTCCTCACGACCATCTGCGTCTGTAGCACTGACATGTGCAACAAGGTCGGCATTGTAGAGTTTGGTGGCGACATGAAAATGTCGCAAAGGACGGCAAACCTGGTGAAGACCAAACTTGGGAAAATAAGTAAGTCTACAATATAGTTTATTTTGTAAAAAAAAAAAGAAATTGTTTTATTTCAATTTTTTTAGCAAGCCTTTGTTACTGGAAGTAAATGAGTTGGCTTTGAGAGTTTTAATTTCCCTCATTTTTACTTTTTTATTATTGTCAACAACATGAGATCTACATGCTTAGTAGGCCTACATGTATATTTCGTTAAACTAATTATGAGGTCCATATTAACCCACTATGCGGCTTTGCACGTACAGAAAATGTTAGCAAAGTTAACCTTGTCTTCATTTTTTTATTCAGAACCAAAGAAAAACACTTCGGACATGATGAAACTGAGAAGGAAAATTGAAGCAAAGAGAGGAAAGCGCCCTAAGCGTCAAACAGATGGCAACGTTCCGCCTTTTTTGTTCGACGAAAACCTGGTATGTCAGTACTGCGGGGATTTGAATTGCCCGACCGACTACGAGCTTCCCCCCTATACCGTCGCCATCCCCGATGATCCTTCCTTTGCCTGTGTAAGGAAACACGCCGGGAATTATCAGCTCTGTAACTCCTGCACGAACTACGCTGAGTGCTTGAACAACGTGTTCACGCGACGTAGCTGCGCTTCGGGGACCGTTTTTGATGACGTCAGCAAAACCTGCGTTCAACCCTGGTTGGCCACCACGTGCTATTTAACCTACGAAGACCAGCGAAACATGTGCGAGTATTACTACAACGAAGATAAAGATAGGAACTTCTGCAACAAGTATAATTCTTTCTTTAAGGGCATTTGTGATTCTAACATTTATCCTAAAACTTCACAAAAGTGTAATTCGTACACATCTAGGCCCGGGTTCGCCATCTGGAATAGCGGTACTTTTGAATGGTTTTGGGGTGTTGTTTTTTGGAATGGTTAAAATCCATATAAATTCATAATTTCACTTTTTATGTGAATGGCCACGCATTTGCTATCTGGAATAGCAGTTAACAAGGACGTCCTGTATAACGGTAGTTCTTACTTGTTAGTAGAAACCAACTACGTAGATCATTGGTTGGGTATTATATGGATGCTACCGACAAAATGTTATCCCCTGGATTTATGATTTTTATAAAATAGCTTTCTCCAAATGTTAATATCTTTCAGCATTCATTACATAAAGGAAATCAAATTTTCTAACGTTTTATTTACAGTTATTTGCTTACCATCAGCGGACAAAAAGAATAGACTCAACTTTGAACAAATGAAGTGGTTTTTCATTCATAATAGTTTACAAATACACCGATTTATTTTTAACTTATCGGGGTTGAAAGCTGTTGTATTTATTGTCTTGTAAATAAAAGTTAATTTATATCTGGAATTTGATTTTTTTAAATCTTAAATCGCTTACTTTTCTTTACTTGTATGAAAAAGAATGTTTCTTAACTTGGATCGGGGTACCCGTTTTCTAAAATCTCCATCACTCGATTTTGTTACTTCTTGGACAGATAGAAGGGCATTTGGTAAAGAATGCCTCTTATCCGGCTTTTCTATCTAACTGTTTTGTTAGCAGCTATTATTGTCATTATGCAAATCGTTGCTTTTCACGCCTGCTGATCAGGGGCAATTTCCCAGTATACTTAAAAACTCAGGGTGTAAAGAAAAAACGATGACACCCTTTTCATTTTTTATATTCTAATTATATTGTCAAGAATAAATACTGATTATGCACAATAACGGCGATTAATTATTGATACCGGCCTAAATAAGATATTCTTATGGTTTTCCTATGAAATGATAAAAGTACCGGGATATGATTTCGTTTTTTTAGAGCTTTAAACACTGTTTCACGCCGATCTAGTCCTTATCACCCTGGGTTTAAGAGACAAAAGACTCTATAACTCATACACGCTAAACCTCATGCCAGGGCTGAATAAAAAGAGTTTCCCGTAGTTCGAAATTCAGGGTGGGTGTACGCTGTAGTTTAATCCTGTGAACCTAATTTACCGAATAAAACGATTGGGTTTTGATAAAACGCACGACAAAGCGTTGGCATCTCTTATCTGTCATGTGGGTTTCTCGTTTAAGGAAATTATGTTTAGTGTTAAGCTTGTGTCCTTTGTAAGTGATGTGATTATATTTATATTCATGACAATAAAACCGCAGGTAAGGTCTTGTGCCTGGAGAATAATATTTGGAGAATAAAGTGAGTGAGCAAAAAAAGGAAAAAAAGGATAAGGCATTTTGCACTATCTTGATATTCTTTTTCATTTTATCTTTCACTTCAAAATATCTTTAAAGAAAAAAAGTAAATTGCGACATTATGTATCTGATCAACCGTATTATCATAAATAAATAAACGCTTGTCAAAAGATCGTGCTACAAGACAAAAGATAATTAGCTATTGACCAATCAAATGAGAACATTATGATTGATATTAGATGGAATGAATTGGTTCTAATTTATTTATTGATTTATTTATTGTCTAATTCTCTTCTTTTGTTGTAATCCAGATTTATTTGTACTGGTGGCCGTCATACTACACATCTAGGTCTTAAATTGTGACAAGCTGTGCTCTCTTCTTTTGGATATCAACATATCACACTGATGGATACAGTACAGCTACTGCGCGGTTTCCTTATAGATATCATCTTGTTATTACTCAGGGGACGATTTAGTGGGAAAAGTGGCCTGCGTTGTCGCCTGTACGTGCCATATTAAGATAACGGGTAATAATAGGTATTCACAGCGCAATTTTCATATATATGTATTATTTGAGCGCTTACCCTCCACGAACATATTAACATATGAAATATTTTCATCGCATTTGTTTATGAAAGCCAAATGCCTGACAGAAGATTGATGTCAACGACTTTGGCCTGGTCGAAGTGACCTATATATAGAATAGAGGTGAATGGTTCTCTGCGCTTTTGAAAATGTTTCAAAATCATAATTCCATGACTAAATATACTGCAAAGGCTGTTTTCTCAATTCCGACCTTAAAAATGATGATCTCATAAAAGGGAAAAGTATGGAAAAGAAAAGAACACACACCCGACCCCAATCTTTATCTCTAAAATGTCAGGAGGACATGGTGATATAGAGGAATCACGATTATTCGTTCATAATTAAATTACTTAATTGCTTAAAAGGATACAAAGCGTCTAATCCAATTGTAGAGACAAGTTTGAAAATAATTCGTTAATAGGGGTAATGTTTTTTTTTTCTCTAGAAAAATTAGATCTAATTTTGGCGTAAAATATCCGCTTAGAATACCTTTATGCATGGTCTTATTGTATGTAACAAACATACGATGGATTTTTAAATATTCCGTGGCTTAATCCATTCGTTAATGCAAGCCAATTAAAGTAAGATTATTGAAACTTCAATGCTACAGAAGAGCGAGGCGTTTCACAGTTTTTCAAATACGCTACTTTCAAAGCAGTATATTGCACTACAAGTAGACACTGTTTTTTGGGCATTCATGCTCATATGCAGTATTTGACATTATCAGAAATCTTAAAATTTCCATGAAAAAGAACAAAGACTTTGTTAAAACCTTTAATCATTCAATAAATATTAAATATAAAATTATGTACACGTTTCTTGGTTCTCAGAACTATGACAATCTTGAACTAAATAGTGACTTTTATAAAAACGGCTTCAATATAGAAATCATGATCGACACGATGACGCACTATTTATTATAGCAGATCAAAAGGGTACATTTTACTTTGACGGACTGTATGATCAAGCTGACTTTGAGGTGTTTGCGGATGTGTCCGTTGAATTAATTTGGCATACCGAGTACTCCACACAATGAAGACACAATACCAAGCAATTCGAGACAGAAAAAGCGTGTGGATTTTTACCTGAATTTCACAACCAAAATCAATTCAACGTTTTATTTGTGCCAAATCGTAAGATATTACTTAATCAGTGTAGTCTTTAAAAGTTCTGTAAAAGTTGTATTTCCAAAATATTTGTTGGCAAAAAGGAGTTCATATCTCTCAGTCGAAATCTAATTTCCAGCGCATCTTCCCGAGTATGGATACAGAGACGCATCACATATCCCGGTGAAATAATTCTGATAAAACGCACAAAAACTGGACACCTCCTGGTTGTAATAATGATCACAGATTGTCCTCCTGTCCGAGTAAGTTAAGTAGCAGGACGCCATGGGGGACTCTTCCCAAGGGTAGACGCACGTTTTCGTGAAATCATTCCAAACCAATCCCGGAGTGCAACTTCGGAACCGGAAGTTTTCCATCTCGCACGTGACGTAGTTGACGCAGGAGTCACACAGCTGGTAGTTGCCATTGTGTCTGCGCTTGCAAGCTTTTGCCGGGTCGTTCATGATAGAACTGGTGTAGGGAGGAAGAGCAAAGTCCGTCGGACACTTGAGGTCGCCACAGTAGGAGCAAATCTGAGTGACGTCATAGGGATCGTTTCCGCTCGTCTGCCTTTTCCCGCGCCTTGGTTTATTGGGAAGTGCGCCAAGGCCAAAGAACGGCAAAGCACCATTTAGAACTGGACCTATGACATTCCCGTTGAGAAACGAAGATGAGAAATCAACTTTAGCTTGACCTTGACCTCGACCTCGACCCTGACCTTTGCCCTTGTCCTGCCCTTTGCCCCTGTCCTGCCCTTTACCCTTGCCTTTGCCTTTACCCTTGCCTTTTCCTGGTTTGGGTTTTTCATTTTTCTTAGGTGGCAACAGTGGTCTTTCAAGTTGGTTGCCATTTTCTTCTTCCTCGTCTTCCTTTTGTTGCTGCAAGGCTATTTCCAAAGATATCAAATCTTCTTTGCTGATTTCCGCCATCTCACGTTGCTCTGTTTAATAAAAGACCAAGCTTTCAATTCTACATTTAAAAGGAAAATGATAAACCCATTTTTCAAATATACGTTCTATATTCTATTATATCAGGGCCTAAATTTTATTACCCAAATGTTTAATACAGCGAATGGATACTCTTGTCAATTTATTCGCTGCACGAGAAGCTTAAATATCAAATACAACTCTTAAGAATGCTGAGACCAAGGTATAAAAGCACTAAGGTTATCTTTCTTCCTTTTATCAATAAAATATGGCTTACTAGGAGGTTTTATAACATCTTCCACCAATTTCGCTGTGTCTTCCTTCATTCGAAATTGGCCGCCAAGGTCGCCTACGGATTTCCCATTGCAGTTATCAGTATTGCAGACGCAGAGTGCCAAAAGGCGTCCATCTTTGTTGTCTTTGACGGCACACCCTCCTCGGCTAGGAACCCGGATGCTGAGGTCGTCTGCTCGCCCTCTGGTTACCACAGATGTTCCGTTGAAGACTGAAATTATGCAAAAATGGTTGTAAATGCGGTGTTAGGTTTAAAATGGACGACAAAGTGGTAATCATTGAGATACCCTCCTTCTATCGCTGTTGGCGGAAGAAAAAAGTTAAATTGTGGATTTTAAGTTTATCACGTTACTGAGAGAACAGTTTCATTAGCTCTGTATGTATCAATTCAAATTATTGTTTTTCTTTTTATCAAGAGCTTGTAAAATCCTGGTCAATTGCCCCTATCACTGGCCTTGTGTTGTAACTGTTACATCCTCATTTTCATTCCAGGTGAAATGACCCTAGTCATTTACTCCCTGATGATGGTGACTGACAGTCACAGAAATATTGGAGGTAATACCCACATATTTTACAAGCTCTTGATAAAAAGAAAAACAATAATTTGAATATCACGTTACTGATATCAGTCTACGTTCGTATAAAAGGGGAGGGGCAAAATGATAATGTTATTCACCCGGCTTGGAAATCAAACCACTGAAACGGTTTTGAATTCACCCCATATATGAGTGAAAATACTGCATTGTAGCTGAAAGTAATGTAGCAAAATAAATGGCGTCTGTCAAACTTTTAATGGAATTAATACCAAGACAGCGTGAACATGCAAGATGGCCTTGATAAGGACAAAATGGCTGTTGCAATGACGAGGTGCAAAATTCATTTCAGCGCAAATAACAGTCCAGAGATTCTCCGAAAATATAGTGACCTGTCGAGATAAAGTGCTGTCATTATGTTCACTTATTTATTGAGGACGATTACTTTTATATGTTTCTTCCCGATATGCATCTAATACACTTACGTACTAGCACTTATGTTAATGAACGCCAGTACCGTTTAATTCCCTCCTAAATCTTGGTTGTCTTCAATTCAGCGTCAAAATTATTTCGTGACTTAAGTTCATTAAGACTTAAACAGTGGACTCAGTCGCCTTTGCATTAGATTTATCATTAAACGACGATGACGGCATCAGATTATTATCTATAGACGCTATATCTAGGCACGCGCCAGGGCATGAAAGAACCGACGATGAGCAATCCACAGAAAGTAATTAAAAAATAATTAAAGTATCATCCCAAAAGTCAACAGATTTCTCATTTAGATAAGTATCTCTTTTAGTTATGAATGTCTTACATTACAGAGATAATAATTTTACCATATCAATCAATAAGTTAAGCGTTTAATGAAAATGGATATTTGGTTGTTGACAGGGTAACAATTATTCCTATGTTGAGAAATTGCCACTGATTAAATAAATATATCAACATTGGCCTAATGTCTGTCGTTATTCATTTAAAGTTGATTTTTTAAGTACGATGATCTTTTATTCCCAGAACA